TACAATTCCGTGGAATTCATAAATAAACCGATAAAGCGAATGCTTATTTCACACACGCGATTAAGAACGTAAAACAGATATAGGTGTGATATTGCGAACAAACAAGTTGCCTAATGTTAAGGTACCATTATTTCTAGCATTAAAAATAATTCAAACTAAATGTTTGTTCCCGCGCCTTGTCCACTAGTTCCCTAGTGTAATCAAAAGAAACTTTTTTCGATCTGTTGGAACTACAAAACATCATGTTTTCAGGAAAAACATGTGGCTAATTACGCTGAGTGTTTTTGTTTTCTTCCTTGACACCAATGCGCACTCAAATATATATAATAACATTGGACTTCCTATTGCAAATGGTCCGCCCTTATTAGTAGCCAAACCTCAGTTCTTATAAGTTATTGGTATTTGAACCCTCGAGGCTCTCTTCAAGTCATATATGTATTCAATGTGCGCAAGTGCTAACGCTGATTCCTGTTCCTATAAAACCTTTTCACACGTATCTCGCACGCCGACGGTAAAAATATTCAAAACGTGTTACAAAATCAACTACAGAAGTTGTGCGCATAAGGATGTAATGCAATTGCGTGGTAAGTATAAGTATCGGACGACACTTTACGGAGTAAGGCAAGAGACGCGGTGAAACGCGACGAAAAACTCGAATTCAACGCGTCCGCCAAGGCGCGGACGGGAGAGCGGAGCAACAAGTTGAAGCAACCTAATGGCGGCCGCATCACGTGATTCCAAGATGGCAGCGCCCATGCGACGGAGGGTGAAAAGGTCTATACGGCTCTGGGCACACAGAGCAGGGGTAGTTACAAGGATGAGAGGCATGCGTAGACGGAGGTAAGCAGTGCACAATAAATACGCGAAAACTCGCAGCAACCGAAGAACCACGCAGCAAACACGTACATACACACGCACCAGAAGCACATGCGTCACGCTGCGTATCGACGCGGAACTGGCGATTTTTGTCATTTCGGTAATTTGAAACTTCGATATCGATTGCGTGAACGATTTATTCAGCAGACTGAAGCGGTGGAGCCTCGAATAAAAAAAAAATTATTTGACAATATGAAAGCGATTGAAACTCTTCCTAAAAGCTATATTAGCAGAAAGTACCGTGTTATAAGGACCTCACGAGTTTCGACCAAGTTTTCGAGCACGTTATTTTGCAAGAAACGCAAGAAGCCAAGTGTACAACCAGTTTCCGAAGCTGGCAACCACAGCTGGAATCAGCGCCATCTTCGGCAGTTTCCTGAACCTCGCGTAGTCACATTTCAGCCGCCACCACATAGAGGGCGCAACCGGACATCCAATTTATATTTTCTGTATTTTTTATGGTTTTCTTAATAATTAGGCACGATTAGCGAAAATGTGGGCTAATAATCAGGATCTGGGACAGTAATCTCCATTTCATACTAAAAATATTGGCCTAAATGTCTGCCAAAAGGGGTCAAAATACTCGGTTTTGACTATCAACAAATTCGTGATTTCGCCTATATTCAAACTTTTTTTATGGAAAATCAAAGGTGAAATTTAGAAAAAGGGCCTCTGTTGACAAAGCAGAATATGTTTTTCTTTGCGGGTGTACAATTTTATTCAAATGTGCCGATCCCCAAGCGCTGTACCACTGTACTACCAAATGAAGTTTGCCAAAAAATATTGTTTTCGTCACTTTTCACATGAGCATACCGAAAAAAGTTTACGCCATATTACAATGAAATTTTCCGTAGCTCTTTCGACCATAGTTGGTAACACACGTAAAAAGTTTCAAATAAAATGACTGAGTAGGCGGCCAAAAATTTGCGACTGAATGTGCTTCCGCGAGGTAAATTTTTCAAAGTAAATATCTGTAAAAATAAAATAAAAAACGAAAAAGGGCCTCTGATGACAATGAATGCACTCTTCTTCTATAACATTCTAAAACTTGAAAGAAATTGCTCCAATTGTGCACCCTGTACCACTGTACTACGAAACCATGTTTCGCCGAAAAGGCCAATGTTCGCGGGTGCCCACTGAATTAGTGCTTTGCACTAGGAAAACAAATCCTACCTCAGAGGAAAGATAATGTTGTACAGTACAATACGATATATAACACATAATTTTAGCAACCTTGAACACGCCACAATCGCATTTCGAAAACGTGTGGAAAGCGTCATATGTATTGGCCGCCGTGGGACCGCAGCCTTAAGGAATCATTTCGCACTTACGCGACCCCGGAAGGAATGAAGCAAAAAATAGGGACTCTAACCAAAAATTTAATAAACATTTACACGACGTTTCGGGACCAGTTCGGTCCCTTGTTCATGGGTTCGGTCCCTTGTTCACGAATGGGAATGAAATAATGGCAGCGCGTGGGCGGAGCTGTATATGTAGAGAGTTTGGTCATTAATTGGTAAGAATAGGGTGAGAATAAAGGCACGTCATTGGCATCGGGGAGCTTCTGCCAGTCGCTGTGTTGGTTGTGCGTTGTAGCAGGTTAGTGCTGCAATTTCTGAGATGCCTATTCCGCACCAAGAAAGCCACAAAAATTGCTGCGTGATCGGCTGTACGAGAGCACGCACGGCACAAAGTTTTACGGCTTCCCTTCGAAGCCATACAGGTCAGAGTGCCGCGCAACCTGAGTGCTACTTGTGCGTCGATGCAGGTAAGTGAAATTTCTTGCCTTGCAGTTTGTGTTTTGCTTTAAGCCGCTGGCAAATAATAAAATAAACTATTTTCTAGCAACAGTGAAACGACATGGACACCTATGGCAAACTCTAAAATATGCAGCAAATACTTCACCGGGATCGAGAAGCGGAATGCGGTCGCCCACCCAAGCCCACCCTTGAATGTTTCCATCAGCCTTACAGGAAGATAGTAGTGGGAATCGCATAACGGCACGAAAACAATTGCCCAGTTATTGTCAAGCTGATTCAAAAAGTAATACACACATAGTTAGCACAGTCCACTCAACGCCAACTAAGAAAGCTCTCTTATCTAATTAGGCGAAGCTCAAAGTTTTTTTTGCGGCCGCGCTCTCAATTTTGTTTCCAGAGTACAGCGTGCCGTGACATTCGCTTGTCCGTCGAAACGAATCTCCTTCACGTCATACACGTGGCCAGATTCATGAAGGAGTTTTCCCTTCGTCATATTGGCACCACGGAAGAAGCTTTCTGGATTCGTAACCGCCTTAAATACCATCGTAATTACCACAGGAACACTGTCCGTTGTGCTGCTCGTCGCCATTGCTTCCCCCCCGATGATTCTGCGCCAGCTACTGAAGAAGCTTTTCGGATTTGTAGCTGCCTTAAATCCCGACAGAACGCTGCCTGCGGTGCTGTTCGTTGCCATTACTTCCCAACGATGCTGCGCCGGCAGTACCGGCTACCGAAGAAACTTACCTAATTTGTAACTGCCTCAAATCCTGTCGTAATCACGACGAGGACACTGTCCACTGTGCTGTTTGTCGCCATTGCTTTCTGATGATTCTGCACTGGCTACCGCTAGGTGGAAGCAAACAATAGGCAACCGCCGCGTTGCGGCCGGCTTGCTTCTTATATGCCAGGAGCCGACTATAGTCCGGAAAATATGGTTCTGTACTTTGGTACTGCTTCCAAGCGCCTGTATAACCACATAATTTCCATAAAACAGTGTTTAAGTTCAAAATTAAAGCTCACTCAACGAAATTAAGTGTATATTAGTTTTGCTGTCCTCGTTTCCGCAGCACAGCTTCTGATGACCTAATTTTGTTTAATGCAGATGACGCCATGTTAAACTCATCTTTTTCTTAACAACTAAAAGCTGTAAATTTTTTTTTTTTTTTTTAAGAACCAATTTTGTTTTAGTTTGGACTTAAAGGAACCGGCAACTGAACCATTATTTCAAAAGTATCACTGAACCCGAACAAAACCGGAATAATGATCCATTAGACTCCTTGCTTTTGACCCAGCCGATCTTCTAGTGTTTGTGTGGAACACAAATAAAGAACTGGAATGAATATGTTAAGAAATCGCAACCGTAAAAGTTTACATTTTAGGGCAGGTTCCATAATACGGTGCTACATTCCAGTGCGCTGGTGCCGTATACATACTTGACCTCATTCGCAGCCATGCCAGTATTTTATGTGCCGAGAGCATTCAGTTCGCTGTGACAGTTTCACACCGCAGAAATTGTAGTTTGAAGAAACCAGTAAGCAGAAATAACCATCTGAACCCAGCAATGGTGACAATTGCAAGCTATGTATACTGAGTGCACTTCGTGAGTGGTTTTCTGTTCTTGCCGAAGTGCGTGGAGATTTAGGGCAGGTATATGTGGCATCGCTTCTAACAGCACACTAGCAATGCTGTTGTGCACATATTCGAAGCAGAGTAAGATATACCTTTTTCTTGCGCCACGCACAAGCTCGACATTTTTAAGGCCTTATCAAACAAACAACACGCTAACCATGCATAAGTTGAGGGTATACGATCCTTTCTTTATTTTTTTTTTTAAACACCTGCGACTGGGTAAGAAAATCTTGAAACAACTAAAAGTAGAAGAGACAAGAAAAGATGTCAGTTAGACGACGTCTGACTGACTTAATTTTTGCGTCCGTTGCGACTCATAAGCCTTTTACACTTGATCGCGCCATCAATGTCTGCACTGACACCAAGTGCCAATAAGCACTTAGCGCGACCACCCTTCGGCTTAGTAGAAAGAATGCTTTGAGGCATTTGATAACGTCAGCAGCTTTATGCTGCTCTTTTCCAGTAACACAATGTGGCTGTAAAATGCCATTTTTTCCTTTTTAGGAATTAAACAAATGGAATGGTGGAGTTCAGCCATTCCAGGAGTGGGAATGGGCCCAGTGTTTCCCTTCCAAGGAGTTGAAAGGAATGGATTTGTCGGAAACTCAAATTCCCCGGAATGGAATTGGAATGGAATGGGGGTGCCCATTCCGCAACACTGCCGTAAAGCTACATTTAAAAAATGCCTCAAAAAATCCCAATTCTATTTCAAGGCAAAACGGTCTCAGTACTCACGAGGTAATCGATGGAGAGGACGTTTTCGCCGTGCTGAAGCACTCCGTCTGTCATGAGCATGCTAAGCGTCACACTTCTCCCAGTGTGAGCGCCGCGCCGCTTCGAGAGTCCCTCTTCGTCGTCGTCTTCGCCCGATTGGTCGCCGGCTTCCAAATCTTCATCTTCGATTTTTGTCGACATTACCTAACCAGGTTGGAGGATACTGAGCGTTAACAAAAGCAGCGACAGCAATGCAAGTTTCATATATGCAAAAAACAGAAGTTCGAATCTGTTGCTTCCTCGCATCACACTTGCACAAGTAGCATCCCACACCACCACACTTTAATTTCCAAACTTATGGCAAATTCCGCTGGTAGATTTATCGCGGTTACGGAGCGCTTTTTTCTTGATATCTTTATGCACGTGCAAACGCGAGCTAGCATTCGCTGCTCTAAACGCGCGAGCATGGAGCGGTTTTGGATCGCTCCGTATGCACGAGCGGAACGTGCCATTAGTTCGCGCGTACACACAGTCGGCATACCAATGGCTTCGCCCGTCGCTGTTTAATCCATTTGAAATTAAATACGAGAAACCGCAGATCGAACCATCGGACCCAGCGTCACGGACTGTACGCAAAGTTCGCTCTTCTGGCGACCATAGAAAGTTTAAATGCTAGAGCAGGGACACCGTAATTGACACAGAACGCAAGAGTTCTGCTTCACAGTTACTTCGACAACGAAAGCCTGTGAATGTTTATCGCTGACGTAAGAAAGAAGTATGACATAATCACCTTATAACAAAGGGTACGAAGCGCAGATGCGCGGAGTACGCCGGCAGCATTTTAAAAGGGGTCTCCAAACGGTCTCATACGCAGTGTTTTAGTCATGTCTGTGTAGTATTTCAGAGTACACTTGTAATAAGTAACCACAAACTTCGCTAAAAATCTGAGCAGAAGGCGCAGAACAAACCCATGTAGCCGGGCCAAAAGTCGTCCGGCAGCAGGCAGCGGCAGCGACGCGGCGGCGCAACGAACTAAAACCACTAAAAACTCAAAATAACAAAATTACATACAAATTATACAATCAGCGAACAGAGACAAACATGCAGTACCGCAGCAAAGGTTCCCTTTAAACGTTGGTTTAAATATTCAACTATTTGTATTTGGCAATAAAAATACTAATAGTTAACTGAATATATACATATATATAGCAATGCATATACTTGAATCTTGTGTTTCTAACCGACTCGTATCTGCGGTATTGCAGTGTTGTTGGTGTGCGGAGCGGCCGACTCGCGTCAAAGCGTGTAAAAATTAACCGATTGCGTTCGGTGTTGTTTGTATAACCAGGCATAACAGTCTTCGGAATGGCAGTTGTGACCGATGGAAGCGGGGACGCTAGGATGCGGGAATATTCCAACTTGGCTGCAGATCTTGAACAGCAGGAACTTGAGGTAGCTGTCCTTTCTCATATCTTCGCAGTTCGCATCCATCGCGGTTTTGGTTTTGGACTTGTTTCTCCCACAACCAGACCCTAATCTAAAGGAGTGAGAGATGCACGAAAAATGTCCAATTTCTTCACCTAGGCAGCAGATGGCATCGCCAGTCCACAGGTGTATGGACAGCTTTTAGCAATATACCTTCTTCAGAACGACCTGTGAGTATTCATGTTTCGGCGAGAATCGTGGGGTTTGCTCATTTTTCACGCTACGTTTTCAGCCCAAATGCCAAATTCTTGTGGAAGAGGATCCCCCCATCATTGAAACAGGTAAGCAACCCGGAGAGCGCGTCGGCGAACCTTGTCGCAGCTTTGTTCCTTTGGGCAATAGACTCCTCGACAAACAAAAACGTCTCCGAGGGAGGGTTCTGACACTGAGTAAAAATGTCAGACCTCTCCCCGCCCCGCCCGTTCCTGGGTTACCATGTCGGTATTGAACCAGTTTGCCTGCACACTTTAGCGTGCTTTTGTTTGCACAAGCCCTGTAGGAGATCTCGGACTTCATTGCAAATATGCCCTTTAACAACAATGATTGTCCTGAGATTGGGCCCATATTGCGTGCATATGCCATATTTGTGGTACTTTACTGATTGTCTGCTATGAAACGCCATTCTCCTAAGTAAATGTGAATTCTTGTACTAATCCCCAAGTCTAAAATTGTACACATGTATGACAAAACAGTGGCTACGTTCGATTTACCTGCATCAGCTACACTCGGTGCACACTGCCAACTTTAAGAGTGCAGCTTATATCAAAACACAACCAGAAGTACATTTCCCTGCACTTTTCTGCACTGTTGCAGATAAATCAAACGAGCCCAGTGAATACCTGTTCTGTTTGTTCTAAAGCCCAAGTTTGAAATTGCATACATGTATGACACCATAGTGAATGCATGTTATAATCCCCAAGTTTGAAGTTTAGAAACTACTTGAAGTCATTTCCTTGTTACTTACATCCTTACCATGCTGGTTTCTGAAGCTCTTATGGTGATTAATGTGGGAAATACTTCGAGGTACACAACAATACATTTTTGCAAACAGGCAGACTTTGCTTACATGAGATGTACCCATTGTGCCTGTGCACAAAATAGATATTCAGAACTTAAAGTGCATGCGCCGTGCAGTCAGTAGCGGCACCTCTGTAGCATAACGTCGGCAACATATGTCTGTCTATAAGTTTTGTGTGGGTAGTCCCACCCATAGGGAACATAAACCTAAATATTCTAACAAAGCGTGTACTTGAAATTTGTCTTTGTTTCACTCACCTCGATCTGTCCTGCAACATCTGTGTGTGTGCGATTGATTTTCTTTTCATTCAACAGTCTCATTCAGAACTTGCCAATATTTGGAAGGTTGGCCAAGGCCTCTGGTACAAGGACTTCCTAGCCATCTACACTGGACTGGCCTCTGAATGGCCAGAGTACATTAGGCCTGTTATGTTGGAACTTGGAGGTATGCATTTTTTGTAAACACTCGTCACACTTTCCGATACATTTATGATCAATTGATACAGCGGTTCTCAACCATTGGTGTCTCGTGGACCCCTTGTAGATAGACGGAGATGATGGAGGGCCCCGCTCTGGGTGAGGGAAATAGAAAGCTATAGGATAATCGTGATAATGATCTAAGAAATGAATAGAACTAATGGCTAGTGTGAAGTAGATTTATCTCATTGACATACACATGAGAGAACTCACCCGAAAAATTGAAACGTTTCTTCTCAATGTGAAAAACAACAACTTTTATTGCCGGGCTTGACTGATGAGACAGGGCTTCGCGGACCCCTAGGATGCCATCGCGGACCCCCCTTTGAGAACCACTGAATTAATACAACTAGAAGGCATGTTGTCTAGGTTACCCATTTCTCCCTCCAGTAACAAGAACATGCCAGTTTCAAACTGAAAGATGGCGCCAGCCATGCTGCAAGAAAGGGCAACGGACTGAGAGTCCTGCGTTGGCATTTCGTCCTACAGATAGCAATATGCAGAGTACACTTGCACATCGATGGCCATTTTAGCTGTAACCACGATGTTGCGCACACCACAGAATATGTAAAGTACAGATACATTTGACTAATCGAAGCCACGTCGATGTGAGGAATATCGCAGATCTGTAATGAAGCATACTCCCACCGGATGTAGAATGCATCTGTCAAGGTTTGGTAAGAATGTACATTCCTTTTCGTATTTAGGAAAAATTTAGGAAACTTTCGTTAGCCCTTTGAAAAGGACGTTTTTGCTATTTTCAATTGTTATAAAATAAGATACTCTCACACAATATTCTTGTTGTTCATTGCACTCAGTGGTTTAAAAGTAGTTAATTAGCCTATTTTGCTAGATTCTTTTAAGTATTTTGCCACGCCCTACATGCGTGCAAGAACATTTTTTTTTCTGCTTGTGCATTGCATCCATAACATTAAAAAAAAAAGAGTTATATCAAAACTAATTTTAATTATAAAAAGGAGATTAAGCACTATAAGCTGTGAAAAAATCATTGTTATCATAAATAATTAAAAAAATGATTTCTCTTGGTGCATGTCCCCTAAAGGGACACTGACGGATATTTATGCTCGTCAAGGTTTTTATTTATACATGACATATGAGAGCCCAACTACCCAGAACACAATTTGTGGCTCAAAATTTATTGTCTTTCCACCCAAAAACCGCCGATCAAGAATTGGCCGGTTTGAGTTGCACCCACTCTCTTCTCCGTGATTACGTGCCGTTTTCTATGGTTTAGACAGAACCACCAAAGATAATCAAAGTCGTGAGTCGTCGAAGGGACACACTCAATACTAGAAATGGACAAAAAATAGGATACCCCCTTTTTTTGTGGCTGCAAATACGTTGATTGAAAAAAAAAAAAAAAAGAGAGTGGCTCATTGACTTAACTTGTGTATCTATCTTCTCCTCTATGGTTCTTCTTCCTCCCCAGTCGTTTCAGTTTTGAGCTGTTGCATTTTTTTTTACTTTATTAAAAATATATGTGACACTGTAGCAAAATATTGATTGGGTAGTCCTTCCGACATCAAAATAAACTGCCTGGCAAAAAATGTAAAAAAATTTGGGGGTGTGTCAGTGTTTTTTAAAGCTGATGCACAACCAGAAAAGTGGAAATTATTTTTTCCTCTCACAGATTCAGCTCCTGGACCCACTGCATTTGAGAGAGGAGAAAACGAGGGAAGGGTTTTTGCCCGGTTGTAGAAGAGTTTACTTTCTCATTGGCTTACTAAGTCAACAGAAAAGGCATCTGGTTATAAATTTGACATTGTTGTCATCCGACCACCTTGCCAAGCTTGTGATCTTAGATTGAAAGGATATTTTGTTCTCTATAGTAATTTGAGGGTCATTGCCTTCATAAATGGCAATAGGTTTACCGGTCTACCACATGATGGATGGCCTTTCCTTGAGAATTCTTTTAGCATGTAAATACAAAAACCCTTTGTGGTAGCTTCTTGTCACAGGTGGAGGAGAACTGAGCAGAATACCTTAAAGGGCCTGTGCAACAATCTTTGTACAAGTAAATGCCACTTAACTTAATCCTTGACATTTATAACTAGGGATCCGTGTTTTTGGGTAAATCCAAAAGATGCTCGCCGGTAAAATTTTCATCAATTCAGACTAAATTTCAAGGTCAATATGGAAAATTAAAAAAAAAAAATATGGTATGCTGTAAATGGTGATTTCGGGTGGTCACCTCTTTCCTCTGACCTTGATTCAGTAGAGCGCCCCCTCCTCACCGCCAGAGCTACTCTGGATCCTTTTCAGTCGATCACAACTGCTGGGTTCAGAGCGCTCTGGCATTCTCAGACCATTCACGGAAGTAAAACCTCTTAATTTTTATAATGCATTAGAAAAAAATATTTTACAGCGTACGGTGGACGAGTGAGCAAAATTTACGCTTGCAACGTGATGAAATAACGGCTGTGACGTAAATTGTTTTATGCATTGGCATGTTAAAAAAAAAAAAAGCAGTATTTGAATTGATGTTTGCAGATCAGAACGAAAGCTAATGCTTGGAAAGAGTTGTCAACTCATCGGGTTTTCGACAGTGAACGCGCTGCGATAGCGGTCATGCGTATGGCAGAGCAGGCAAATATAAAATGGTTAATAAACCATATTTTTCTCACGGCGAAATATTGTGCAAGCCGGATATAACACATATCGCCATGTGACACAAATGACTGTGCATTAGATTCGGCTTTCCCTTTATTTTACAACACAAATCTTCAAACGCACTTTTACCTAACCTGAAAATTTCTTGAAGCGGCCATAAAACCTGGTAAAACAGCGGTGAGCTCTGCGAGCTGTTTCTTCGTCGGCCAGGCTTAATGGAATCACCGCCGCGAGATTTATGATCTCGTAAAAACACTGGGAATACTTCACATGTCGACTTTTCCTGTTACGGTCACAAACAAATGTCGTCCCGTCCGTCGTAATCCTCGCACCATCGAATGCACAAGCACTTTGTAGAACCACATATCAATCGCCGCCTCACCGGACCCCGCACACCACCGCAGACCACTGTGAGCCATCATCAACAAAACCACGTGACGCCTGCGTCGCTCCGCACTCCCGACAGCTGCGGACGGAGTGCTAGAGTGCGCTCTGAGAGGGAGAGGCGGCCTCGGAATGAACCAGCCGATCAGGCCACAGCTCTCTCTTTCCGCCACCCGATTTCGCGCACTCTGGAAAGAACGCTCGAGAGCGCGCAGAAAGAAGCACGCGAATTCGCCATAAGCTTGGTCAGAGCACAGAGTCAGTGATCCTAAGGAGACCCTACTTCGGTTTCCTTTCATATTTCGGAGTATTGACAAAAGGAAATGTACTGTTTATCTTTTCAAGATCTGTTCAGGACAACTGGTCATTGTTCTTCTGGGTCATGCAAAAGACACTTTTCAGGTTTTCAGTTGGGACCATACAAGTTGTGCTTCTGAAATGGAGAAGGGCTTTGTTTCTGTAATAGTGCAAGCTGTGAACCCATAGATTTCATAGGAGTGTTGGGGAGGGCAACTGAAGCTATAAAAAGTTCACCAACATGCTTGGAGACGACTTGCCAGAAGTGAAACAGTGTTTCATGAAATTGATCTCCTCCAAGGCGAGACCTACGACACCAGTTGAATTTGGGTTGGCCCAATTTTTTTTTTTATATATTTAAAGGGGCACTGACACATCAAAATCATACTTTTTTTTATTATCCGAAACGATTGAAAACGATGCCGGGACATTACCCTCAAAATTCGAAATTTGGGAATTCAGTATTTGTGAAGTAAAAAAACAATTTCCAAATGGCGAATTCGAAGTTCCCGCGTTATCCGCGCCGGTGCAGTGACGTCAAATATTGCGGAGTCCTGAGAGTCCGCTTTCTTTCACGACTCCCTGCTGTTGCCATGGCGACCCAAAACGAGGAGGAAAGGAGCGAGCGCCCGGCGGACCGGTTTTGAGCGGTGTTGCCTGTTTTCCGTAGGAGGATACAAATCCAGGAGACGGCACCACAACAAACTTGCGATTTTTGGTATTTCAAAAAGAAGGGCCGTAGTGTGTTCGCAATTGCGTTAAAAAACATGTTTTAAAATTGCCGTTATTAAATGTTATAGAGATGACGCCTACAAAGCTTCTAAATTTCATGATTCTTGACGTCACGAATCAAAAGAAGCGAGGAGGCGACAGGCGGAAGAATCAAACGGCAAAAATAAAAAGGCGTGCGCGCGCTCGGAAAAACTTTTGTTCGCGATGCGTTTTTTTTTGCGTGTCTATGACTGCAACTTGCATTGTTTTAGACAATAAAAAAAATATGACCTTTGGGGTGTCAGTGCCCCTTTAAGGCAACAGTGATCCCATGCCACATGTACTTCTCTCTAGGGAACTAAAGCCCTAAATATGTCTTTCACAAATATAGTTCTGAGCACTTGCTTTCCTTGCTTACCTTTCAGAACGCACAAGGCGACGGGCCTTGACGCTTGTTGCCAAAGCATACTCCTCCATTTCTCTCGATGATGTGTCTTCTTTTCTGGGCGTCTCCAGGGCCCAAGTAGCAGACGGTGAGCCCAAATTATGGACTTCGTTTTGTGTTACAGTACGGTGCTAGGAATGCCTCTTCGACTGGTGCGTTTACCATCCTATCCCATCCGTGCATCGAAAAGGGGTCCTGAAGTTGCAATGAATTGCATCACAGGAGCCCCATGTCTTCCCATCTGGTGTCGCGATCCTGGCAGTTGATTGTCGGAATGCCGGCGAAAGAAAGGCGAACGGTCGTAAGGGTCACCGTCATCGCGTATCTGCTCCGGTTTTCATTGACTGTCTGGCTACAGAGTGATCTGCAGCAGAACAGGCATCTTCCGCATCCACCACCACGCTGTTGTGACACTGCGAGGATCGCGACGGGCAACAGCATGGCACTTTCATGATGTCGTCGGGCAGAAATCCAGGGACCACTTTTGAGACTGTGGTAAACACACCAGTCGGACATGTGCCCTAGGCACCATACTTATATGGAGACCGTGCTAAGCCAAACTTTGTTGCATAGTTGTGAATCCACTGGGCTGGGTCGTCGACACCGCAAGTGGCATGGTGGCACCAAAATATACAGGTGAGCATTTGACAGTCTTTGCAAAGTAGAATTCAAAATTGATACTGCAGTTTACTTTTTTTGCCTGGCATTGAAATGCCTCATAGGTTACATATTCAGCAAGTTTTTAAGACATTCTCTGTGTCTCTGCTGATATTTGCTCAAGGGGCTCTTCTTTTTTTTTTTATATATTGAAAACCTCGGAGTGAAGGAAGGCAGAAAAAGAAATACATATGTCCTCGCGAAAATGTTTAGGCGTATGTGAAATTTATTTGCAACAAATGCTCTTATGTAAGCTCAAAACCCATGACTATCTGGTACAGGGTCCAGCAGACATTAAAAGATAAGAGGTGAATAAAACGAGAGACAACAAGAGCTCAAAAGACAACTGCTAGACCCTGTAAAGGCGGATGCGGATTTAGGGCTTGCATAGCTCTTGCCCGATTAATTTCAGCTGTGTTTGGGGTCTTGTGCGTTATGTCACGTCATTCCTAATCCTCTGGCTTCATTCACTATGTTCAACTCTCACCAGCTCGTTGGCACCCTTTCTGTTAGTTATTCTTTTTTGCATGTAAATGATGATTAGTTATTCTTTTTTGCATTTAAATAATGGTTGAATCCCCTATAGTTTACCTTATTAATTGTCTCTACAACCTTTTTGTGTTGGTGGAACATTTGTGCACAGCTGTGCTGCTGTTGCTTTGATTGTGGAAATTAATTTATCTGCAGGCAGTAGAATGTTTCTTAGTGCACACTTTATTTGTGAGCATTTGTTACCAAAGCTAATGTGCATGGAGTTTAAAGATACCACTATCATTTATTAAGGTTTGGTTTTTTTCAACTAAACACATGACCCAGCTTGAGTTCCTTGAAATTGATTCTAAATTCTTAGGAAAAGAGTCAATATTGCAAGCGTCTATGACAGTTTCTCTCCCCTATTTAAATTAACTTGTGTCAAAACATCACTGTGCTATTATTTGTCTAAAAATATTCAGTCATTGCCACAACAAAACCCCTCATATCAAGAGGTAGGTTAAACAGTAGACTACTGCACAGGCCGGAATTTATAGGCCCGATAGAGACACTGCGAGCCCGATGTGTTTTCTAAACATAAGCCCAAGTGTAGCCCAATCTCAACCAAGTTTTTAAACAGGAGCCTGCTCCGGCCCGATTGCTTTTATTTGCAGCACCAACTTTGTCTTCCACCATACAGTCCACATCAAATAATCTAAAAGGGATGCATCCCGTTTGTCAAATGCCCATTCTTCATGGGACGATTGGTAACGGGGCGGTTTGTTGCATCAGGACATTGTGGCCTGGTTCTAATAGGTCATTTCAGAGGTGTACCCAGACAGTTCAAAACCAAAACGTTAACTGAACTATTTAAGGGTAGAAGATAACAAAGTGATTACAGACAGAAAAAGAAAAGTATGAAGCGTGACCACCGATATTATCACAGGGTCACTAGGTTCACAATCACAAAAAGTATAGGAAAACAAAAAAAGTAAACTCAAAATCCAAGAGCAAGAAAAAAAGGCAATTCACAATTGCTAACATCCCCTGTGCATCCCCAGAAAGGTATGCCAAGTACATGTGTTCTTTGCTGTCTGCAAATTAAGAGAAGGAAGTGTACAGTCATGTTATCTCCCTTAAAGGGCAACTCCGCTCAATTCCAAAAAATCTAGGCTTACATGTGATTCAAATTCACAAAGCACTACTGAACAGCTCTACGTCTTCGGATTCGCGAAATGTGGAATATTATTTGCGTAATCCTAATTTAAACATTAGCTGATACCAAAACCGAAACTTTGGTTGCGTCAGGCAACATTGGTCTCGGGGCGTCAGAGTCATGGCCACGTCATGTCGAACCACGTGGTCTTGTGACGTTCGGGAGGGAGCGAGAAACAGGGCACGCAACGCAGGCAGATCGCTTCGCATGGCGCGGACGGTGATGGCCCGGGGGAGAGGGGGAAGGGGAGAAGACGAAAGAGGAGAAAGGGAGCGGAGAAACAGACCGATAAGCGCGCAGGGCAGCGCAAACTAGCGCATCCGCGTTACGGTGATCACGTGAACGCCCGGTCAGCCAACACCGGGAGAAGAAACTCTTGACGTCATCGTTCAATTTTGCTCTGAAAAGTAAAAACAAACAAAATGTGAGAATGACGTAGTCATGCCTCTGACGTAGGGCTCAATGTCGGCTGCTCCAACTCCGTGGCATTGACTGCGCTGATGATTGCGCCTCTCGCCGCCCGCTAGAGTTGGCAGATTTCGGCGACTTGGCTCGCTTGAAGGTTTGCTGGCCCCAGTTTATTAAATATATAAACGGAATTAGATCGTAATATTTGGCATGGGGTCTTCCTATATGACACTGAAGAGGGCTACATAGTTTTCTAAATATCAAAAATGAAGCGGAGTTTCCCTTTAAGAGGGTTACTCCTGTTTTCCCTCCTGCTGCATAACATTCTTCTCATTTTTCTTTAACTTGAAGAGGTTTGCATTTTGTTCTTAACGTCTTGCAAAGTGCAAGCTTGAGTGATACACCTTTGTCCAGGCCCAGCCTGTGCCCCGGAAAAATGTGCACTAGCGTGCCTGAGCCCAAGCTGAACCTGGGCTTTCATCTATGCCCAGGTTTGTGCTCAGGCCTGGGATACAAAAAAAAAAGATCTGTATTTAGTCAAAAATAGCAGGTCTTTATGAACAAATCCCAGTTTTTTATTTTTCTGCAGTGTACTGGAGGTTGCCAGTCATTGTGTGTTGCGGAACTCGAGCCCAGCGAAGGCTTGGTAATGTCTGGACCTGGAAATGCTCACTCTGATATTGTAAATATGTGAACATTGCTTGGTCTTCCAGAGCTAGTCGTTTTTGAGTTCATGCATTGCCTGAGCCTCATCATTTGATCAGTGCCAAATGTGAGTCTCAACGATTTGCTCCCCACAAGCTCTGTAGGATTTGTTCATAGACAACCATTTTTGGATCGAGCCAATATGCCTTTTGGATGTGTGCTACATGTTCCCCTAGGTGCATTTGACACAGTGCTGAAATTTCACTATCTTCTCAGTTGTCAGGCATGAAGAATTTACACCCAGTGAAGAACAGCTGGCCAAGCTTACAGATTTTGTTGCTTTCTTGGAGAACTGAAGGAGCTGCAGTCTTTGTTAGCTGCACCATGCAGCTCTTTAGAGCAGTACTGTTTTTATGGAGTGTTCAATAAACAAAAGTGAATCAATATTGTTGAGTTTGTATTAGTTTAGAAAATTGGTGTGCCTGCATATGCAAATGGATCACTCATCTTTGCAAGACACTGTGTTAACCAAGCTTAAAAAGCTAATTTTTATCAAATATTGAAGCCTATTAGCATCCTAGGCAGTGTGAGGGGAAAATATTTGTACATTTCCCTGTTCACGAGGTGGTCTGAAATTCAGTGATGTGATTGCTCCACTTTTCAACTTTAGCTTTTCACTGTGCATGGGTGCACTGCAGTGAAGCAAGAACCATGAAGTAGGTATCGCGAGTTTGCGTGTATTGCTTCGCCGCAGCACGCCTGTGTTGAAAACTTTTGATTATCTCTACAAATGCGGTACTACTATATTAATCCCTGTATGGAACACCAACAGTACTGGAAATCTTGCAATATTCCTTATGTTTGTTGACTGTTCTGGCATGTTAGCTTCATTAGTGTGCTTCTCACTGTGCATGGGTGCACTGCAGTGAAGCAAGAACCATGAAGTAGGTATCGCGATTTTGCTTGTATTGCTTCGCCGCAGCACGCCTGTGTGCCAAGGAGAAAGCACGCCTCCAGAGGGATGTTTCTACACAGGCATAGAGTATATTATTATAATAACAATAATTGATAAGTGCTGATGTTACAACCCTACCTTGCAGTAAAAGTTTCTGAAATATATTCTGACAATTTTGGTTTTCAAAGTTGAGATTTAGCAAGGATGTTTGGGTATTGCAAAAGGATTTATAGGAACTGCTCTATAGGTTCATTTTTTATCTCATTTCGTTTAGTTATCACCTTTACATATGTTCCACCTGCACGATGACACAGTCAATAGAGTATGTTAAAACTAACTACTAGAGAATGGATGAGAAATTGGAAATAGCTTTAACGAGTTTGGCTGGTCTGTTTTAAGAAGGCGTATTTATTCCCGTGCTGGTTTTTCTTATCGTGAAGTTCTACGTATAAGATGCCATTGATGTTAATAATCCAATGACAAAAGCTTTGTTCTTATCTGAAATAAGAATTACAGTTTTATAACAATCTTTAGAACTTCTATGAAACATAAATTTGGATGCTCAATATAATTCTGTTCTAACGTTATTTCTATGGAATATACTTTTTGATTTTTAGTTGCTCCATACCTGAAATAGCCATTCACAACAGTTCATACTCTCCTTAATTCAGCATCTCGTTGTCGTGCCTGGTGCTTTGCGCAACTAAAACAGCTATGATCTGTGTTTATGGGAATCAAACCTGATGCTAACAAAAGGTTGCACAGAAGAGGGAAGGCAAAGCAGACAATGTCCTTTAGTTGTACAGGCCAACACATGAATCTTAACATAATATTTGCATGGTAGGAATGAAAATTAAGTGTGTGGGCTTATGCTTCAAAAGTTCTTGCTGCTCCAAATTGAATTTTTGGCTGCTCCAGAAGGTGCTCCAAAATGACTCTGACTAATCCCATCACTCAAAATTGTGAAGTTGTGGACACGTTTATAAGTAAATATGATGTACATACGCATTGCAGTAGCAGTTTTGAAGTGTCCGAGAGCAAAATACTTCCTGTCAGAAATTTGTTTTTTAGCCTGCAGCAGAAATGATCCGTGTTTCATGACCAAGAGTATTTCTATGTAGTGTGAAAGTTTTATTTACAGTGTAGTAATAACAGAATAAATAAGACAATGAAGTTGGATGTTATGTGGTTACTTAACGATGCATTGCGTTCTTCTGCTAGCCGAAATTTTGAGGCCGAACTTGGTGCTGGAAAAGAAAGTTGTCATTCAGGATTTTGTTAGTAGCAGTAAGCAACAGCAGCATGTGTTCATTGTACTAGTACAAAGATAACTTGTAATTTTGGCATCCAGGATGTATCCTGCACTGAGCAGGTAGTCGAATTTAAGGTGGTAGCCGTGAAGTAACTTATGTAAGGTTTATGTAAGAACAAATTGACTTCCACCTGAATTGGAGCACAACTCGCACCCTCTATGCGACTTGTGGCTGCTAAAAAAGTCCACCAGGTCGCGATTCGATTTCGGCACCTCTCAAAGAGCACCAGAACGCTCTACCAACTGAGCTTACCAGGAGCTGGCATTCAGTAAAGCAAACGAATGTTAACAGTGCAAGTATGCTTCATTTCAGGTGGAAGCTAATTTATTTTCATGTAAATCACCTTGGGGACTTTCCCTAAAAACTCATACACAAGGGTTCAGTTTCTAGATGTACCGTGAAACCCTGCACTACTAGCATGAAACTGCTACTATAGACATACAACAAGAAAAAGTTTCCCTTTCAAAAAGAAAACTGCCTTATTGGTGAAATTGATATCGACAGATGAGAGCATCATTCAGTAGAGTGGCCCAGTTTTTCTTGTGCACATCGTCATATGGAGGGATGTTTGCTAAATGACATAGGACTCTCGGAATGTATGCAGGAAAAAAAAAAAGGGGGGGGGGGGAGGGGGTGCAGAAAGAAGGATCATAACCATTCACTTGCACCCCTGTTCTTTGTTAATTAAGGAGTTTTGCACCAAGTGCATTTTAGACACACTTCCCCTCGAAAAGAAACAAGCTTTGCGTCTGCATTTAATATTTTACTGCTTCTCACCTGATGCTGTACATGATCCCTTAGCCAAATCCGTTAATAGCGCAACCAGCGCATTGGTAGTCTTTTGAACAAAGTGCAGGTTGAGATCAGTTAATCCCCGGACGTCATCACATGCTTCGTGGTAGCAGCTGCGCATTGTGCCGCGAAACGGACCTGCAAGGAAAGGAACCAGATTTGTTGATATGAGTTGTTTTGCACATCAAGTATTGTGGAAGCTGGCCGCAATATCTATTTTTACGTTGCCGAACTATTGGGGCGACCTGGAATGCTCGTGCGTGTTATTGGAGGTACCACAGACCCTTTTCAAAAGTGCATCAAGCAACATTGGCGGTCCCCGTTGCTTGCTCGCGAAGCGCGTGTTTGGATCCGAGTCCTCGCCGAACGCTGACGCGGCGCTCGTTTTCAATACGAGCTGAGCCGAGTTCACGCCGAGCGCTGGCGCAGGTCTCGTGTAGGGACTCAAACCGTAACCGTAACCGAAACCGAAAACCGTTTAGGAACGAAATTTTTTCTGTAACCGTAACCGGAACGAAACCGTTATTTGATATTTATAAAAACCGTAACCGTAACCGGAACCGTAAATTATTCACCGGTAACCGGTTTTAACCAATATTAACCGAAAAATAAACTATTAGTTTTTCTGAAGTATGACCTGGAGGAGGGATCTTAAATTGTTGTGGCCATTTGACAGAGTTACTGTCAGCGAGTGGTGCATCTGGTTACATATTTCCATTCAATCTGACTTTAGGAATAAGAATACTCAGATTGAATTAGTGGTCGAGCTTATAATTAAAAAAATTCTATATTTCTAAATCTGCCACGCTCCTACATCGCTACATGTATTCAGTACGTGTCGCTTTCAGTGTATTAACTAATAAGTTCGAATTCTCAGATGTCCATCCAATTCGGTTCTATCAAAACCACCGATGTTCCTGACATGCAATAGCCAGTATAAAGAAACGAGGTAAATTGGCCATCATGCAGAGCTGGCGGAAAAGAAAACCTGGGCCCGTTTGCTCGAAGCGCTATCCGCGGCTAAAGTTAGCAGCAGTACCTATAGGAGAGGGAGTTTGAAATCACGTGACTGGGGGCTGGGATGCCGGGAAGCATGGCGGCGCCCCGGTGCGTGAGCGCCGCTCCCTTTGTAACTAATATGTCGTTGTAGCTGCACTATCGGGCGCGTTAGTCAGCAACGAATGGTGCAGGAGGCTTTCGCGTTGCCTTACCTCGCTTAAATCGCAAAGCACGAGCAATGACTTCGCGGCATTTGTTGCATAGTCTTTCGATTCTGGCCTTTCTAAGCCTAAATGAACGCGATAATTGTCGGCATGGCAACGTCTTTGGAAAGCGGATTGCCTTGACTCAATCGACCGGATATTAATAGTACACAAAAGAAGACCAGCGTCCCGCCCCAACAGACCTTTTTCTAAATTACCCAAGCATCGAGAAGAACGCTGGAAGTGTAATTCTATGGTCCGCGCTCGCTGTCCTTCCTCTTATAAAAGATTCGAAGTAAATAATCATTATAAGACTTGGACGAACGCGCGTGCAAGGCAAAATTTGTTTTAGACTTTTTCCTTTAGAACGATAGGCCTGTAGCTCACAAGTTTTGAGCAGCGCTGCAGGCGAGCAAAATAGAATATTTGGATCGCGTTTCGAACATGCATCAATACGCTTCCCCACTAGAGTTTTTTCTACTCAGTTCCATTCTAAGTTCCAGCGTAGCAGAGGCTACAAGAGCGAGCTGCGAGCTTTCCGCGTCCCTGCCAAGCACGCGCGCTCGTGCAGTACGAGCATCCTTCACGATGACGCGCTTTTCCGAGTAGCTTCGGCTCCACTATCACGTAAAGTGAAATATACGTGCTCGCGGAAGCTGTGAAAGAAAGCAAATATGAAAGGAATGTTTAATGGAACGCTGCGGCCGCAAGCAGCATAATTCTGTTCTTTTTTTTTTTAACTTTTTTTAGACGTTTTGTTACCGCACTTCTACAGATGCTGACAGCGGCTTGTATTCGAACGTGGCACGTGCAAAATCGAACGTTACAGCGCCACACGGATGATGCAGCCAGCAAAACTTGGTCGCGTCTTGCGTAAGTCTTCCGGGCGCGCTCGCGCCCCCTGCCCAGAGCAACGGGTATATTACTACTGCATACGCCAGCACGCGCAATGCCTGCAACTACACTCGTAGCATGCACCTCGGTGCTTGGGAAATTTGTGTGCTATCAATACAAGGCCGATTGAGTCAAGGCAATCCACTTTCCAAAGACGTTTCCATGCATGCCGACAATTATCGTGTTCATTTAGGCTTAAGAATGGTCAGAATCGAAATACTATCTAAAAAATGCGGCGAGGTCATTGCTCATGCTTTGCGATTTAAGTGAGGTAAGGCAAAGCGAAAGCCTCCTGCACCATTAGTTACTGACTAACGCGCGCGATATTGCAGCTACAACGACATATTAGTTCCGAAGCGAGCGGCGCTCACTTTGCGGGGCACCGCCATGTTTTCCCGCATCCCTACCGATCCCTGTCACATGATCTCAGAATCCCTCTCCTAGGTACTGCGGCTAACTTTAGCCGCGGTTAGCGCTTCGAGCAAACGGGCCCTAAAGCCCCTGTATCCTGGGAAAAGTGGCGCCTTCATTGTTGTGGAAACGCGCGAGACACGTTCAGCGCGCCACTTCTGGAAAGAACATGGCGTCTGAAATCTAGCTCAGTGCTGCGCTGTGCCGCCTTGACCTTTCCAAGGGATGCACGTTGCACGTGCCTCGTGCATCGACGCACTTTGCGCTACTTTTGAAACATGAAGGGGCTTTAATGGGCCCTGCTGTTCATTAATAATGTTTATGTTGTTCATTTAGTGTGAAACGTGTCGCGAGTGACGATTTTGAAACAACACAGAAAGAAAAAAAAAAGTCAGGGGTTTGACATTGGCGTTTTGTATTATATATACAATATATATATATATATATATATATATGCTCGGGCTGAGAGTGGTGGAAGGAGCGAGGAAACGTCAGAAGGGTGTCCGAGTTTTTTTTCTTTTCCTTCCCGCACCGAGACCCTTCTTCAAACCGAGTGGCACCCGCCGCCTAAAGCCCCTTCATGTTTCAAAAGTAGCGCAATGTTCGTCGATGCACAAGGCACGTGCAACGTGCAGCCCTTGGGAAGATCATGGCGGCACAGCGCAACACTTAGCTATTTCAGACGGCATGAATTTCCCAGAAGTAGCGCGTCGCACGTGCCTCGAGCATTTAACAACAATGAACGGCGCCACTTTTCCCAGGATAGAGGGGCTTTACCGTCGCCGGCACTGCCACGCCTCTCAGCTTCTCAACATGACAAAAGAAAAAGCCAAGGAGAAGGATGCCTCCTCGTCAAACGCGCCAACGCGCCACCCTCGTCCAACAGACATGGGATGCAATTTCTGCCTCCTTCGCCTGAACCTTGGGAGCTGCCCTGCTTCCAATCGTCGATGGCCAGGGGGGCTATGTTGCACGTTTTGGACTCCCAGGAGACTTGGGAGAGAGAAGTGACATCAACGACTAGAGCAAACGCAGATTGGATCTTGACAGAAGAAAAAAAAATCAACATCCAATCTGCATTTGCTGCGTTGTTGACGTCACTTCCTTCTCCCTAGTCTCCTGGGCGTCCAAAACGTGCAACATAGCCCCCCTGGCCAATCTCGCCCCACACGGCCAGCAGTCTCAACAGTCTCTCTCGCAAAACTGTGAACGCGAGCTATTCGAACGTCGGCACGGTAAGCTCGAACATCCACAGACGCGCCGAGAGATCGCTTCCAGCATCGCCGGAGGCCTCCCCCTGCCACCGCCGGAGGTATGGCTTCTACGAGAATCATTTCTACCAGAGCCACCAGCGCAATCCAACTACCTCTGATAGAGCCCCCACCACCCATGCCGGAGCGAGGGTCCGTCATGCCTACGACATTCTGAGCGACCTCGCCCAGGACACCATAAGTTTCTCCACGAGAGATGTCCATGAGATCAGGCATCTCCCCCGCCATCGGTTCTACTGGGATGACATGCTCCCCGAACACCAGCACCTCATTTTCAAATTTCGATAGACTGGAACTCTTCCACGTCGTCGCGAGAGGGAACTGTAGGACGGCAGTCCTATCCCAGACGTCGAGGATTCGAGTCTGAGGTTTTCAGAGAGCTCCCCGACCAGCTACCCAACCAGCCTCGACGCGGACGCCACACGCCTCGTGCTCCCGCGCACACCAGCTACCGCCCAGACACCAAGTCGAAGAGGCCCCCTAATCGTGAGTCCGGCAGCTACGCTGAGTCTTCGAAACCCACCAGTGCCGTCATCGACGGCACAGTCGTCTCCTCGACGCTCCTGTGCGTTTTTCCTGTCGAGGACATTCTCGCCCATGCTCTTTGCGAGGCTGGTGTCTCGGCCGACCGTGCCCGAACTTGATCTTGGATCGAAGAAAACGACCCAATGGATCCCGACTCGACAACCACCGCCACCGAGCGAATCCTGGAGTGGCTCAGCAGGACCGACACTGTCATTGAGCCCCACGCCGATGACGGCTTCTTCGACACGTACGATGGCAAGGAGGAAAACCACACCAACACAAAGGAACACACTACAGACAAACAAAGCGTCGTCGAAGACTCTCAGTCGGACCTGGGTAGCACTGCCTACAAGTCAAAAGCGACGGGACCTACACCGCCAGTCCACTCGACCCAGCTGGCACCTGAAGTCCACTGGGCAGTGTTTAGTGAGGCAAGTAGTTTTCACGGGCCGCCCGACTACGGCGGACTTTCCATTCGCTGCACGAAGGCTTCTTGCCTCACGGCCCGCCCAGCCCAGCTCTCAATTTTATTACTTCATTCCACTTAGCAGTATTTTACTAGTGGATGGCTGTAGTTCTGTTCCTTCCTTCAGTGAAGCGAAGACTCGCCTGCATGTATGAGGTTGAAATCAACTGTAGCGACGAGAAAGTGCGAATGGTTCTTCCAGCATCAAGTGGGAACTTTCTTAGGGTAATTGTTTATAAATGGTGCCAAACAACAGAGTAGCGGTGTTTATTTTAATTTTTATTATATAGAACGCGATGATCCCCGAGTACTAGAAGTAACATGTATGCTCGGGCATCAAACTAAATAATGTAAGTAGATGTAGTGAAC